TTTAATATATCCCTCATAAATCGGATTTTATTTTAAGAGAAAAAAGTATTTTTGGCAGAAAATGATCTCCATTAGCAATTTATTAAAAATAATGGATCATAATTAAGGCTCAGAATCTCATGCACTAAAAAATCGAAAATATGCGCATATAATATGCATTCAAAACTCAAAAATATGTGCTTTTAACAAGTAAAATATGCAATAAAAAAGATTTTCGTAACATTTTATTGCCGGTACAAAAATAAATAACACTTGCGTTTTAACAAGGAAATTACGAAATCAATTTACTTCAAAATATCATAGATATTTATGTAGAAAATTTATTTATAATCAAGCGGTCAGTTACAATCTTGTGTAAATAGAAACATGGACAGTTTAATAGTTTGAGAAAGTTTGGCGGCTTTAATATATTTCAATACGTCATACAGAGAGTGGCAGCTTCACTCTAAAACATTCCACAGGAATGCTTTGCAGAGTGTCTTAAGCCTTATCCTTGCGCGGGCTGGTCAGTCGACAAGTCGGTCATCGCAACTGCGAAGGAACCTGTTGAGTGGCAATCCAATCCTTTCAGCATGTACCCCGACAGACCAGTACACTGTGCACACTGCAGTAAGTTTGTAGGTATCTTCTTTGCTCATTCTTAAGAGAGCTTTGGGTTCAAGTGGGTCGGGTAATCCTGTACGATCCTGTACGGTTCCACCTCTGCTTGGCCTTCGAGGGATAAATTCGTTGATTGTTACTTTTATCTTCCTGAGCGAGGCGCCCATGTCCACCGCGTGGGACACATTCAGTACGGATCCGCACCTTGCTAGTTCGTCCGCTTCCTCGTTAATACAAATGTCCCTATACCTCAGAACCCATTTTTGGGTAATTTCGTATTGATCAGATATATAGGCCAGTTCTCTCCTACAGTCTTCCACTAGTTGAGATCTACGAGAGTGCCTCAATGGCAATTTTTTTGTGTCAAAAGATTTTGCACTAAATTTAAATGGTTGTAATCATAAAAAGTAAAAATATGCAAAAACCACATGTCATTTAAGTAAGTTCTAATAAATTCTAATAGGTCAGCAATTTTTTAATCTCTATCATAAGTGTGACATGAGATAAGAATTGTAGAAAACTTGTGACTCTAAGAAAAAGGGCTAAAATTTGCATGTTTAAACTCATATAACTCGACAAAAAACTGCAGTAGAAAAAAAATTATTTTACCAGTAACCATAGCAACAACGTAGTGGAGTTTGAACAAAATGCTGGCATAAAATGTTTTCCCTGGTACACTTGGCGAATTTTGCCCCAGGAATCGAAGCTTCACACTTTATGGCTGCATTTCTTTACACATTCTGAACGTTTGGAATAAACTTTTTTGTTTATTTATTCTTTAGAACGTTCCTGATGATATGTTGACGTATATTTCAAACGCATTCTGTTTATTCCGGCTGTGAAATGGGATTATCCGGAATGTATAAAGAAACGCAGCCTATATAAAGTTCACAAAAATTCTAAAAAATTTCATAAAAATTTTCAACTTTTTATTCAGAAATTCCAGAAAATTTTCGAGTATGCAGTTTTGTATCCTATTCAATTTGAGTAAACAAGGTGTAAGTTTCAAATCGCTAAAAATTACCGTTGATTTTTTAAATTTTTTTGGTCGCATTTGCTTCCATGTAACGAATAAACACAATTTATTTTTACGTGGAAGAAACCCGCAACGTCTTCTACAAAAAAACTCTAGAAAATGAACGCTAACTTTTTGAGGCTTGAAACATGCACTTTGTTTAATAAAATGCAATGGGCTACAAATTTGCATACTTTTCTAGAAATTCTGAATAAAAAGTTGACAATTTTGATGAACTTTTTTCCATTGGTCAAAATTAACACTTTATCTATCTAAAAGTGTATTATATATGACTAGCTTTTACCCGCGGGTTTCACCCCGCACTTTTATACAAATATGAAAAATAATTTAATGCTGTTAGATTTCTGTGGCCATTTCGTTATAGCTCGTTATTTTTTAAGCGAGTTAAGGTATTTAGGCCGTTTAAAACTATGAAGTTATAAAATCTCGTCTGCGCGCTAGGCATACGAAAGATATCAATCTCTCTAAGTTTACCTTAAAATGATTCCAGGTATACGACGCGTGAATGTGTAACCTTCTTGGAGGTGTCACGGCGGGTTCCAATATTTCCAACTCAAATTTAGTAACCTGGCCTTGATAAAATACCACTTCTCATTACTGTAGCAAATGCCTCAAGAGAGCTTTAGATTATAAGGCCGAACACGGCTCCCCCTTTTCCATTTAATGAAATTTATTGTCAGTACCGCACTTATAAAATAAATCTCCATAACAAATTTAAAATACTTCGAGAGATTTTCTATCCTTCCAGAGATATGTATTAAGAAGTTTTTAGTATGTATGGGAGGCGACATGCCTTCTTTTTTAAAACGGATTTGCATAAAATTTTGCACACAGATAGCTTATGACCTACGTTAGAAAGTAGGCTACTGTTTTTAAGAGTTGCCACCTGTTAGAAATGTTTAATTTAATTAATACGCGGAAATTAATGAACTGATTTGCATGGAAGTTTTCACACAGATAACTTATGAGCTAGGCTGAAAAATAGGCTACTTTTTTTTAAGAGTTACCACCTGCTAAAAAAAGTTTAATTAAATTAATACGCGGGAAAGTCTGAACGGATTTGCATGAAATTTTGCAAGCAGATAGCTTATGACCTACAGTGGAAAATAGGCTAATTTTTTGGAAGAGTTGCCTCCTGTTAAAAAAGTTTTAATTAAACTAATACGCGGAA